AGCTCACTTGGTAGCCCAGGCTGGCCTCGAACTCACAGAGATCCGCCTGGCTCTGCCTCCCGAGTGCTGGGATTAAAGGCGTGCGCCACCAACGCCCGGCGGGTTCCTGACTTTTTAATAGCCTTTTATTTTCATTAACATTTTAAGTTAGCGTGGTGGCTATTCTTGGTTGTCAACTTGAGTACATCTGGAATTAACTAAAACCCAAATGACTGGGCAGACCTGTGAGGGATTTTTTTCTTAATTAAATCATTTGAAATGGGAAGACCCAGTTCTAAGCCAGAACTTTCAGGTGGGAAGAGAAATGTTTAATCCATATCTTGGGAGGTGAGAAGCTCTTCCTTCAATCTGGACCACACCTTCTGCTGGCAGCCTGTACAAAGGACATGGAAGAGGGAAGCTGTCTCTCTGTCTGCTGCTCTCACGCTTGCTGAAAAGTCCATCCCTGGCATTAGAGCCTACTTCATTGGGATTCTGATTCCCGCACATACTGAAGACCAGCTGAGATATCCAGCCTCACGGACTGAACAGCTACAGGATTCTTGGACTTTCAGTGCATAGGCAGCCACTGTTGGATTAGCTGGACCACAGCCTATAAGCTACTCTAATACATCCTCTCCCCACCTATCTATCTGTCTATCTATCTATCTGTCTATCTATCTATCTATCTATCTATCTATCTATCTATCTATCTATCTATCATCTATCTATCCATCTATCTATCTATCATCTATCTATCTATCTGAGCACACACACACACACACACACACACACACACACACACACACACACACACACACACACACATATATTATAGCTAAAATTTTTTTGGTTTTGTTGAGCTTCTGTGGCCCTGTGGCCGGCCACTTGGACCCAAGTAAACACATAGAGACTTATATTACTTATAAACTGTATGGCCGTGGCAAGCTTTTTGTTACCTGTTTTTATATCTTAAATTAACCCATTTTTATTAGTCTATAAGTTGCCACATGGCTTTTGGCTTACCGGCACTTTTACATTTTGTTTCCTCTGTGTCTGGCTGGCGACTCCTGACTCAGCCTTCCTGTTCCCAGAATTTTCTTTTTTGTTTGCCCCGTGTATAGTTTTTGCCTGGCTACTGGCCAATCGGCATTTTATTTATCAATCAAACCAACACATTCACAACATACAAAACATACATGGCATGGGGAGAGGTTCATTCTATAAGCTCTGTTCCTCTAGAACCCTTACTAACACAGTTAGCATACCTAATGGGCTTCATCACGGCATCTCTCATTTCCATCACCACCCTCCTCTGTCACCCGTGCTCCCCTCCCTCCTCTGTCACCCCGCCCTCCTCTGTCACCCGTGCTCCCCTCCCTCCTGTCACCCCGCCCTCCTCTGTCCCCCCGTGCTCCTCTGTCACCCCCGTGCTCCCCGCCCTCCTCTGGTTGGTCCTCTTCTTCCTCCTTCTGCTTGTTTTTATTGCTGTTTGTTTGTTTTGTTTAAGAATTTTTTCCTGTGCAGCCCTGCCTGGCCTGGAACTCACTATGTAGACCAGGCTGGCCGCAAACTCGTGTAGATCCAGAGATCTACCTTCCTCAGCCTCCAAGGGCTAGGATTAACGGTGTGTGCCACTTTCTCATCACTTACATTAGAAATTCTCCTGAATGGTGTCATTATTTTTGCCTACAACAGCTACCCATGAAGAAGGAGCAGGCCTACCTACACAGACATTTGCTGTTTCCTAGCACTCCACATTCCCACACCTCTCCAAGCTCCCTGAATAACCCCAAAGGGTCTAGTAGAGACAATATGGAGCCACAGTAAAGAAAGTCACTTCTAAAGACCTAATGGCTGCTGCGCTTCTCAGAGGCTGTTTCCCGGTGCACTCACGCCACCTGCTGGAAAAAGTTACCAAACACTTTAAAATGTTCAGTTTTAAAGGTAAGGATTCTGTTACCATTTTTTTCCATTGCTGAGAAACGTTATTATGGCCTTTTGGATAAAATGTATTTGCCAGGCAGGACAATCCCAGCATACTTCAGCGCCTCCTCTTTGCTGATCCTGCATTTGGCCCCAGGGAAGCTTGTGCTGTGCTTCTTGTCTGTGATGCTGAAACCTTGCCTACCCTCACAGAAGTCCAGGCTGTAGGTTCCAATTTTGGGGGTCACAGTTTGATGGCCAGATCAATGTGTTCTTGAGTCCCAAAACCAGTTTCCAATATCCAAGAAGTCATTTTACCGTAGCTCATACTCCCCCACCTACGCTCCCACACCTTTCTCCAGATTTCATCTGCCTTGGCTCCGTGGACTGTGTGGCAAACAGCAATCTGTCCATTTCTCCTGATGCCAAAGGACCTGACAGTGTATCTAGCTTTGGGAAACACAGGTGTCTGGGCTGTGAGCTGTTCCAACATCTTGGCTGCTTGGGTCAGTCTGTCTCCACTCTCCCTCACACAGATACTGAGGCAGAGCTGTCTCCTCAGCGGGCAAAGCATGCCATGCTCTTAACACCCTGGAGAGCTGTTCTCCCTCAATGAGGTTCCTATTATAGTTAGTATTCATTAACTCTTTTTTTGAGATTTTCATTTATTTTTATTTTCTATGTGTGGGTGTTTTGCGTACATGCATGTCTGTGTACCACACGCGTGTCTGTGTACCACATGCATGTTTGTGTATCACATGCATGTCTGTGTACCACACGCATGCAATGCCCAAGAAAGCCAGAAAAGAGCATTGGATCCCCTGGAACTAGAGTTATGGACAGTTGTGAACAGCCATGGAGGTGCCGGGAACCAAACTCGGGTCCTCTGGGAGAGCAGCCAGTGATGTTGGTCCCTGAGCCAACATCTCTCCAGGCGCAGGACTCGCTACCTCTTGGCTGTCACCAGGCCTGGCCATCTACTCACTACCCAGAAGATTATGGCCAGTCTCTATGAGACTGACTGATGACATGTTTACTGCCTCAAAGAAGGCATTCACCCTGCATACACATGCAAGTTTGGGGTGCATGATGGTTTGAAATGTTCCCAAGAAGATGGTATATTTGGTCCCCGGTGGGTGGCACTGTTCAGAGATGCTGTGGAACAGGACTGGTCATTTTTTCCATTGCTGTGATGAGACACCATGACCAAAGCAACTTATGGGGAAAAAAAGTTTATTTGGGCCTACAGTTCCAGAGCATTGGAATCCACAAAGGCAGGGACCGTACCACAGCCAGCAGCTGGAGCAGGAGGCTGAAAATTAAGAGCTCACATCCTTTACAATAAGCATGAAGCCGAGAGGAAACTTGCAGTAGGCGAAGCTTTTTACTCCCAAGACCCACCCCTTTCTCCAGGAGGACTGTACCACCTGAACCTCTCCAAATAGCACCTCTAACTGAGGACCAACTATGGGGGACATTTCTCATTCAAATTACCACAGGAGCCTTCAGGAAGAGAGGCCTGGACTGTGGTTCCTACCTCTGGGTTCCTGCCTTGAGTTCCTGCCCCAACTTCCCTCAGATGAAACTTTTCCTCTGAGGTTGCCTTTAGCCACAGTGTTTTTTAGCATGGTAACCAAAAAGAACCTGTTAGTGACGAGGGCAGGCCTTTGGTTCTGGCCAGAGATGCCTTTCCAGGTGGTCACCATAGCGCATGCTCCTGCCTCCACAGCTCCATCACTGCACTGGAGCACTCAGCACAGCCTGAAAGCCTCCCCTCCCTGAAGTCATTTCTGCCAGGCACTTGTCACAGCGATGACAAAAATGACTGAATCTTGGTGCCTTGAGCCCAAGCAGGAAAATCCCACGAAACAAAAATGGCAAAGTCAGGACTGGGAGATGGCTTTGTACAAGGGCGCTTTTTCGGGTGCCCAGCCTGCATGGAAAGCCGGACACAGTAGGGCACGCCTCTGTAGTCTCAGTGTCGCTAGGTCAAGATGGCAAGCAGACACAGGAGAACTCTCCGACTTGCCACCCAGCTAGCCTGGTGTGCCCAGTGGAGAAGAACAAGGGTCTCACACGAGATGGAGAGTGAAGACTGAGACAAGTCGTCATCTGACCTGCGTGCGCACACACACACACACACACACACACACACACACACACACACACACTGTGGGGACAGCGCGCTCATACACATACACACACACACATACACACACACACACACTGTGGGGACAGCGCACACGCACACACACACACACACACACACACACACTCTGTCTCATACACATCATAAACACGCACATAGGAAAAACAAGAGAGCTGGTGAACTATTTACAGTCTTCTTTCCTGATATTCCTGCTGCCCTCTGAGTCCTCACCCTTCCCACCTTGCTGCGCGGGGTCTGACAAGATAGCGGGTGTTACTCCATGTCACCCGGAACAGGAGCCGGAAGAACAGACAGGGCCCGTTGGGAAGCGGAGCTGAGAATGGAAACTCCACTCTTCAGTGCCACCCCCTCTTCTGATTTCTGTCTTCTCAGCTTCCCACCACCCAGGAATTTCAGCACAATTAACCAGAGCACTTGTAGTGGAACTGCTCTAAGAAACATCACAAACAGGATTACTAAAATGGCTCATGAGCTGTGGCTCC